GGGGATTTGAACCGGTGACCTTCTTGCTGAGAGGCTTCAGCTCTACCAACTGAGCCACCGTGCCGCCTTATAAAAAATATATAAAATAACATTTTTAACTCGTTGAACAACAGTTCATACATTTACAAATTTCTCCAGTAAATTATTCTTTATCATTCTCTTAATAAACTCATTAATCTGTCATTTTAATGTCTTCTTCCAGATTATTCCAATAAAATACAAATAAATAAATAAATCAAATACAACTTTAGAATCCATTAAAACAGGACAGAAAACCTTCCTGCTTCACTTGTTTTGATTTAAATATTTTATTTTGTAAAAAGAAAACATTTTGAAACATTTCATGGTTCTGACACTGAGCTGGAAGCTGATTGGCTGACGGTGACTCCTCCCCCTCAGGGCTCAGATAAAGAGCACAGTGAAGAGGAAGCTGTACGAGGACAGCCGGATCCCCATCTCCTCTGAGTCCCCCAAGAAAACGGTTAAGAAAACCACCGTTTCCATGACGCCGGCCCCGGCTCCGCCCACTCCCYCCATGATCAGCGCGCCGGCCACACAGGTCGTCGTGGCGACGGGGATGCAGGGCAGCTCGTCTCTGGCCCCGCCCATCAAGAAGCAGAAGACGGCAGGTGAGACAGAAGCCTGAGTGTTTCAGAGCAGGTCCAGGTGTCCCTCTGATCCGGTCTCTGATCCGGTCTCTGTCCTGCAGACGTGACCCTCAGCGCTCTCAACGACTCGGACGTCAACAGCGACCTGGTGGACATCGAGGGACTCGGAGACGGGTCGTCCAACAAGAAACTCAACTTCGATCAAGGTGGGTTCTGGGTGCAGGTAAAACCAGGTCTTTGTGTTCCTCAGAGTCTCGGGTCTGTTCTGACCCGCTCCGGGTTTCTGTCTCCTCAGAGAGTCTGAACCTGGACTCCAGCCTCATCATGAACTCCAGTGACCTCCCTCTCCTGTCCCGTTGAAGCTCCGCCCCCTCCACAGACAAATACACACTTTTATTTTGAAAGGGACACTCAGATCAGCGTGTTCAGAGTAAAACTCCTGTTTTTGTTTTAGAAAAGTTGTATTTTTTTAATCTGAATTATGTTTTAATTTGTGATGATGATGATGATGATGAGCTGCAGTGATCAGTTTCTGCTTTCAGACTAATTTATCCACTTTAACATCTGTATCAAGACAAGAAAAACAACTTTCTGCTCTAAAAGCTTTTCTGACAATAAAACTTGATGCATCTTCAAACTTTTTCTATGATTCATTATATTATTTTTATTATTATTTATTACAGAACCAACCTTTAWAATTCAACTTCCTAATGTATGACTGACAGACTCTTATTTTGAAACAGAACCCACAGGAAGTGCTGTACGATGGGTGGCAGCTGAAGATTCAGACCAACAAAAAGTGACAAAAACACAACTTCTGTTTAATGTAACAGTTTTTATTTCTTAGCTTTAATACAATATATTTATATTTAATTAAAATTAAAGCATAGATYAATTGTTTCCACTAAAAACTACATTCTGCATCATTTTTACAGCTTTGAAGGAATGAAGACATGAAAAAAACTTGTTTGTTGCATAAAAATACATCATCTCATGTGTTTGAGAGAGTTTGTCTAAAAGAAATGAAAGTATTTACAGTGAATGTACAGATGTGCTTTAGTTCCCTTCATTACTTTAAACTCTGGCAGCCCTTTGTAACGTCCCGCTTCACCAGAAGAACTTTACAAATACGTTTACTTATTGCACGAAATGTTTTATGTTCATAAATTAAAGTCCTGTTCTTAATTTCAGGAAATCAGATTCTTTTTTGGCCATCAGAAGTTCTGGAAGTTTCTTTAACTGATCAGTTTCAGCTACTGAAAGTCAAACTACGGATGCCAAAAAGGGTCATTTTTAAATTGTTTCGTTCTTTCACAGTGAAAAAAAAAGGTAGTTTTTCTTTTTGCTCCAAACCAAACATTCAGCTCAGTAAAAACAAACAGGAAGTGATCGGCGCTCCAAACAGACACCAAAGATAAAATATGATCTGGTTTTAAAATTATCAATAAGTTTATAAAAACAGAAACATCAGAGGATTACTCTAATCTGAGTTTACTGGAGAGTTTTTGGCTTAAAGTCATCTTTGAAACAAGATTTTATTATTGTTCAGGCACCAGGTGGCGCCGAATACTTCAGGTTAACTAGTGATCCTACGTTAAGTCAGACT